GAGGAATCGGATTTTTTTCGTTTGCCAGATCTCTGAGGAGAAGTATAGGAGGGGGGGTCTGTGGGTATTGTATGCAAAAATGCATTTTCAAGTGTTTGACACTTGAAAGTGAAATGAAGCTGAAAATGATTTTCCAAGCACAATGTATTCCGACCTCTCTTCCTCTACCATTCCCCCGAGTACTGCTTTCTTTTGTACAAATCTAAATTTTCTTTTTAAGTTTCGATTTTTCTTCAGATTTTTTTCGTCTCCTTCTTCATCATCGCTTGCTGTCAATCATTTAGATCAATGGATTTTTTTTTTATACAAAAAACATTTTCTCCATGGAAATCATGGAGATGGGGAAAAAAACTTTATGCAAATTTAGTCAAGAAAAAAATAAAAAAAAAAAATTGGAAAATCTGAAAAATAACCAAAATTGAGGTTACGGAGAAGAAAGTGGCACCCAACGTAAACATCAATAACTTCAATAAAGTGTGAAAAAATATATTTTTGGATTCCTAATTCAAGTAGTATTTACAAGCCAACTTTTAGGGCATTTGGACCAAATATGTATATATTTTGAACATATCATACGTTTTATACATAATGTCAGAAATTTTGTAAAAACCCCTTAAATCATTACATTATGAAAAAATAATAATGCTGTTTTAGTATATAGTTCATTAACAAGAATTTTCGTTTTTGGACAATTTTTACACACATCATACATTTTATACAATTTGTCGTAAACCTAGAAAAATTCAATTTAATGATGATTTTTAGACAACAAGTAATTTTAGAACATAGATTAATGTTAAAGTACCATTTGAAAAAGCGAAAATATAAATTTTGATGTGTTTACGACATTTTTGACAATGTGTATAAAACCTTAAATTCATAATAATGGCTATTTATTTAAATTTATTTTTGAATTTTTGGGTGTTTTAGTATTTAGCTAAATAAAAAATATTTTATATTTTGTGTTGCCATCATTTACATTTTATAAGTTTTATACATTTTGTCGTAAACCTAAAAAAACCAATCTTATGCTGAATTGTGAACAGCAATCCATTTGAAAGTTATATTATTGGCAAAGTATCATTTAAAATCCTACAAATTTAAATTTATAATGGTTTACGACATTTTTGACAATGTGTAAAAAAATATATAGAGTAATAAATGAAATATTTAATATATAGAATATTTTATAAATGCGTCATTTTACACTATTGCATTATAAAAATTGGGAAAATATACATTTTTACTTGTATACGACATTTTTGACAATGTGTAAAAAACCTGAAAATCATGAAAAGGGTTGTGTACTTAAATGTATTTGTTAATTTCTCGATTAAAGGTTAAATAAAAATTACTTTTATTGTTTAATTTGTACTCAAATGTGGTTTACGACGTTTTCGACAAAATTGTAAAAAACCTTAAAATCATTGAAAGTCAATCTTATGAATGAAATTTAATTGTGTATCAATTAAAAAAGTAAAATACGACGATTTCTGAAATGTGAAATGGTCGTATTTTACTATTTATAGTGGTTTACGACATTTTTGACAATGTGTATAAAACCTTAAGAACAGAAAATTGTTATATACATAAATTGATTATTGATATTTTAGTATACAACTTAATTGAAAAGTGCACTATTTTTGTAAAAATTCTTCCTAGCCATGGTTTACGACATTTTTGACAAAGTTGTATAAAACATTAAAATTATAAGAATTCAATCATTTGATGGAAAATTATTGCTGTAAAAAAATAATAATAATAATATTCTAGCATTTTTGAAAGGTGAAAAAATAAATTTATATGGTTTACGACATTTGTGACAATGTGTAGAAAACCTCAAAACCATGAAATAGTTTATATACTTTAATTTAATTTTGCATTTTTGAATAAAGCTGAATACAAAAATTCAATTTGTTTTATTAAATTTCTTCCTTTCTTTAGTTTACGACATTTTTGACAAAATTGTCAAAAACTGAAAAATCATAAAAATTCAAAATTTTTAATGAAAATTAAATACCATATTACTAAAAATTGTAAAATTTGTACATTTTTAGGTTTCTTACAAATTGTCAAAAATGTCGTTAACATATTTTTAGGTAAACTTTTAATAAAATTATGTACTAAAATAATTGTTTATGATTTTATCTGTTATAAATTTATTTGAAAGAGGTAAAATTTGAGCATTTTTTAATTTTTTTACAAATTGTCAAAAATGTCGTAAACCTATTTTAATGTATAATTTTAATAAAATTATATACTGAAATAATTGTTTATGATTTTATCGATTATAAATGTATTAAAAAATAGTAAAATTTGAGCATTTTTAAATGTTTTACAAATTGTCGAAAATGTCGTAAACCTATTTTTATGTATAATAGTAATAAAATTATTTACTAGAATATTTTTTATGGTTTTATCTGTTATGAAATTATTACAAGCTGTCGTAAAATAGTTAAAATAATGAAATTCAACATTTTTTACAAATTGTCAAAAATGTCGTAAACGAATTTTTATGTAAAAATTGAATACTGTTGTTGACAGAAATAAGTTGTTATGAATTTATCAGTTAGAAAATGTGCAGAAAATCAAAAATTATCAGAAAAGTATTTGCCTAGGGGGAAAGGATATTTTTCAGACATTCCATCCCTGGGAGAAAGGAAGTATTTCAGACATCCCATCCCTGGTCGTATTGAAAATCGACTGCGTTACATGATATACATATTTGCCTCTTGGCTGCATTCTATTTGTCTGCCATTGATTTCTGTCACCCCGTTTTCAAATGATAATAATTTCACAGCTATATTTGTAAAGGATATTCTTAAAGGAGGAGAGGAAGGATCGCAATGAAGGAATGTTTTTCGAAAAATTTTAACGGCCATATCTTCGAAGGATATTTACAAAGTAAATAGCTTTAATTGCTTACTTGCTTGTGGAGGAAAGAAAAAAATACCCGAGACTAGGAATTTCTTTGAAGATAGACATTACCTCCCCTCTCCAATACACCATATTACACACTAAAACCACAAAATATTTCTTCCTAGAGGCGGGCAGGACAAAGGCTTTAAAAATCGTTCATACCATTATCGCTCGACCCCTCCTCCTTCCTCAGCCCTGCACTTAAAACTTTAATTGTTTATCTATGAATGCTTTTGAAAGCACTTTTCACATGCACATTGACACACACACACACTCGCAATCTGGCATAACAAAACTTTCTGACACTTTGCAACCCCTTGAAAATTCTGAAGTGGTCCCCCCTCCACTTCAGGACTATTCAATACAATTCCCTTTTCTTGTTGTTTAAATGGCTTTATTGAAAATTGTCCTCGGTTTTTTAAAGCAGCGGTTATTTAATGTGCGTAATTATGGCATTTCCTTATTAATAATAAATCATAGCCAGGATAACAAGGGAGGAGAAGTAGAAGAAGGGGAGGATAGCGAAAAAAATAGCAAGCGTTAAAAAATCTTTTTTTCTTCTTCTTTGTTTGCCATTGATGTTAAGTGGTTAATGGCAGGACCCTTTAGAATACGCTTCTCAATTGTTTTTACTTGAACTTTTGTTCTTTTAGGACATTGTTTTGGAATTTAAAACAAAGGGGAGTGGAGTTTAAAACGCAATTGCGTGATTTTGAGATTTAATAAAAAGGATATCAGGAGGACAATGGAAAGGATTTCCGAAAAAAACGATTTTTTTTTGGTCTGCTATTAATTCTGGGAATAATGGCTGATAAATAAAAAAAAATTGAATGGATTTATTTTTTTTTTCATATAATAGAAAGGATATAGAACAAATTAAGGATATCGAGAAAAATTAAAAAGGACATTTTCTTCTAGAAAATAAATCTCCAGCCAAATATCCCCATTATCCAATTAAATAAAATTTTGACTTCCCTAAAATACCAATTTTTTATCCTTTCCCTTTGAATCCTTAATCATTAAAAATTAGTTTCTTTATTGTTGTTGTAGCGAACTTCTTACCTGACACAAAGGATATCTCCGATAGCATTATCCATTTAACAGCAAAATACAAATTGATTTTCAAATATTTGCCAACACGATGATGCAGCTTTATGGTGACATCACGGGCATGATCCATTATCGTATCGGGCATATAGGAGAAATGGACAGGTTCACCGGAAAAGTGTCTACCACCAATGCTAAAGAAGACTTTAGCATGGACAAAGACCTGAAAGGAAATTAACAAACAAAAAAAAATGTTAGGATTTGAAAAAAATATATAAAAATATTAATTTTTTAATAGGCGTGGATTTTTTTAAAGAAATATTTTTTAAGGCCTATTTTTTTCCAGCCAGAATTTTTATACCCTACACAACAATGTTGTCAGGGTATTGTAGCTTTGTGCAGCCCCAAGAATTTGTAACGCTGCGAAATATTGGTCCAGTAAGTATACCGATCGTCATATCTCAACTAGCTGAGTCGATCTAGATATGCGTGTCCGTCCGTCTGTCCATTATAATTTGTAAACACAATACAGGCCACAGTTATTGACCAATCTTCACGAAATTTTGCATGTAGGATGGGTTCTGGCCAATGAAGACCCCTATAGTTTTTGGTAATGATCGGTTGATGTTTAGGGGATGACCTTTCTGGTCTCTCCAGAGGCCACAATTATGGCCCAAACATCTCGATTTTTACATGGAGAAGGGGAAAGGGCCAAAGAATAAGCATGCCTGTTTTGATAAAGATCGGTCATTATTTAGCGGGTCAAATGGACCCTGATTTTTGTTTGAAAAAATTACAAAATTTTTATTCTATGGCGTATATATTTACTCCTCAAGGATATCAAGCCGAGAAGTTAAATAGTCTATCCAAGAGGAGTGGTGGGCCTTCAAATGGATACCAATTACAATGTCGTAAACACGATTCAGGCCACAGTTATGGACCAATCTTCACGAAATTTTGCATGTGGGATGGGTTCTGGCCAATGAAGACCCCTATTGTTTTTGCTAAAGGTCGGTTAATATTTAGGGTATGACTTTCTGGTGTTTCCAGAGGCCGCAATTATGGCTTGAACATGGCGAAATTTTACATGGAGAAGGACATCGGGCCAAAGAATAAGCATGCCTGTTTTGATAAAGATTGGACATTATTTAGCGGGTCAAATGGACCCTGACTTTTGTGTGAAAAATGACAAAATTTGTATTCTATGGAGTATATATTTACTCCTCAAGAACATCGAACCGAGAAGTTGAATAGTCTATCCAAAAGGAGTGGTTGACCTTTAAATGGACAACAATATTTACAGGTGCTTACGTATTCGGATATTATTTAGTAAACCATAAGCACACTAGAGGGCGGAAATATAGCGCTGATCGCTTTGAAATGTTCCATGAGGATCCAGGTATGGTCAAGAACAACGCCTATAATTTTCGATGATGATCCGATAAGAATTTTGGGATGAAGTGGACTGAAAACTAAATTTTGTGTGTGTGTGTGTGTTTTTTTCGACTCGATCTACAATTATAAGCCGAACATCACAACACAATCTACGGTGAAGGGAAGATGGACAAGTTTTTAGAAGGGCTGTACTGAATATTGGGAATATTCGGAAAATATGTCAGTGTAATGAAGAGGTGCTTTTGACCTCTAATCGGGCAAGAGGATGCAACTAACACGAAATATTACCCAGGCTCTGAATAAATATCCGCAGAGTCGGCCCCGTCCGACTATACTGCTCCGCTCACTAGTTTTTATACCCTTCATCGCATTATGGTAGAGGATATTATGTCTTTGTGCATATGTTTGTAACAGGCAAAAGGAAACGAGATAGACCCATGGTTCCTTTTGAGGATATGCACAGAATCACTTTCTAAGTCGATTTATGCATGTCCGTCCCTCTGTCTCTTAAATTGTAAACAAAGTACAGGTCGCATTTATAATCCGAATTGGATGAAATCTGGCATAGGTCACTTACTGGGCCCAAGGACGAACCCTATTCAAATTGGGAAAAATCGGTTCATATTTAGATATAGCTCCCATATATATTTTCGTCCGATTTAAAATCGGTTCATATTTAGATATAGCTCCCATATATATTTTCGTCCGATTTAATGAAGACGGTACCTATATATCTTTCAAATTACACGAAATTAGGCATAGCGTAATGACTTAAGTCTAGAAAGATGTGTGTTAAATTTCCTGAAAATCGATATAGATTTAGATATAGCTCCCATATATATTTTCGTCCGATTCAATGTAAATGGTGAACCAAAGTCCCTATATATCTTTCGATTTGTACGAAATTTAGCACAGCGTAATGAATTAGGCCTAAAATGACGTACGTGAAGTTTCGTGAAAATCGGTTCACATTTAGATATAGCTCCCATATATATTTTCGTCCGATTTAATGAAAACGGTACCTATATATCTTTCGATTTGCACGAAATTTGGGACAGCGTACTGAATTAGATCTAGAATGATGTGTGTTAAATTTGCTGAAAATCGATTCGGATTTAGATATAGCTCCCATATATATTTTCGTCCGATTTAATGTAAATGGTGAACCAAAGTCCCTATATATCTTTTGATTTGTACGAAATTTAGCACAGCGTAATGAATAAGGCCTAAAATGACGTACGTGAAGTTTCATGAAAATCGGTTCAGATTTAGATATAGCTCCTATTTATATTTTCGTCCGATTTAGGGTAAATGGTAAGCCAAAGTCCCTATATATCTTTCGATTTGCACGAAATTTGGCACATCGTAATGAATTAGGACTAGTATGATGTGTGTCAAGTTTCCTGAAAATCGGTTGAGATTTAGATATAGCTCCCATATATACTTTCGTCCGATTTAAGGTAAATGGTACACAAAAGTCCCTATATATCATTCGATTTGTACGAAATTTGGCATAGCGTACTGAATTGAGTCTATAATAATGTGTGCTAAGTTTCGTGAAAATCGGTTCAGATTTAGATATGGCTCCCATTTATATTTTCGACCGATTTAAGGTAAATGGTACACCAAAGTCCCGGAATATGTCTTTCGATTTGAACGAAAATTGGCATATCGTACTGAATATTAGGCTTAGAATGACGTACGTGATTTTTTTAATATTTTTAGAATTTAGAAAAATTTGTATTTTGTTTTTGCAATTTTTAAAATTTTTTTAAAAAATATTTATTTACAGGTTAAAAAAAATATTTTTTTAGTATTCTGAGAATTTTTAATTTTTTTTTTTAATATCCAAAAAAATATTTTTTATTAATTTTCCAGTAGCTCACCTGAACATCCTTGGTAAACATATTGTTCGTATGCAAAATAATGGCGCTAAAGTTACGCACGGTATCGAATTCGAAAACGATTTCAACAGGTTTGCCCATGAGACCAGGGGTATCATTGCGCCAGCCGATCCATTCATAGCCTAAAAAAAGAAGAAGACAGACGAAATTATTAGATAAATAATAAAATAGAAAGGTCAAAAGTTCCAGATAATAAATCTATACTCCCCTTTTATATATAGAAAAATACGTTCAGGAATTCAAAATATAAACCCTTGCCATGGAAACTTAAGCAATTTTTTTTTTGTCAGAAGGAAAACTAAAGTTTTTGTTGTTTTATTTATTTTCATATACACACAAAAAATAATTCCATACTCTTTAAAAAAATATTAACCAAGTGTATTGTGTATACATGTATGTGTGTGCCTGAGCATGTAAATTCCTTACCAAAAAGGGGGAGGGCGTGAAAGGCTAAAGTAATTTCAAACACGCACCAGCAGTAAAAATACAAAACACAAACTCACACACACACTCACTTACATGGAATAATAATTTGTGTGGGTGTGTGTGTACGCAATAAGGATGATTGTTAAAAGAATTCCTTTATCCTTGTAAAATGTTGACATACCGACACACACAGCCACACATACCAAAACACGCATACAAATTATTACGACAATGTCGCTAGCATTGAAAGGCAGGCTATACACACACACACACACGTATATAGGCAGACCAAGCCAAAAGTTACGCTTAAAACCCTGGGCCCAGGTCTACATAGCTACCTAGTTGGGGAAATTTATGTCTTTAACATAGTTATTGTTGTTGTTGGTTTGTGCAGTGTGCACTAGTTTTTAATTTTTTTGTTTTTGGGTTTTGTTCTTCGTGAAAAATTTTTCGTACAACCTTCAGTCTATGTTTTCATGCTGTTGACGTTATTATTGTTGCTGTTGAAGAGAGAGAGGGGTTGGGGGAGCAAGTGTAGCTACCTTCTCTCTGTGTGTGTTGGCTTGTAAAACAAAAGCGCCAACAAAAATTATTACCTTAAGAACGCGACATTTTAACCTTTTTTGTGCTTCTTCTAGGCTTTCACCCCACTCCCCCCTTCTGTTGTCAGCCTATGGTAGGACCAGCTAAACTATGGTCCTTTTGTTGGTTATTTAAGACTTAAGGTGGGGTAGATGACAAAACGAATGCCAGAGAGTGAGGCAACCAAAAGTTATAAGGTTGACAAATTCAACCATTTACATTAGCTTCACACACATACAAACCCATCACCCATACATGTATAAGCCTTGCCACGAATTATTTCCCTTTGGCCGGTGTATTGCCATTATATAGCAATTATAGTGAATTTTAGTTGCTTCTTTTTTGGCCAAGTTAAGAGCGGTAATTGTTTGCTGAAATATTTGCCTTCAGAAAATATGTTATTTTTCGCTTGAGGAAGCCTTGGTGTCCTCCAAAAAATTATTAAATTATACATTTTATTCTGAATTTCATGAAAACTTAGATTTAGAAAATTTAAAAATATACTTTTAGGGCTCTGTATAAGGCGTGAATTGTTTTAAAAATATTTTTAGCGCTCTATATAAAGCTTGGATTAAAAAAAAATAAGGTTATAGATAAGACCAAAATAAGGCGAAAATTTTTAATAAAAAAATATTTTTCATATTCCTATCAAGGCATAGATTTTTTAAGAAATTTGTATACCCTACACAACTATGTTGTCAGGGTATTATAGCTTTGTGCAGCCCCAAAAGTTTGTAACGCCGCGAAATATTGATCCTAGACCCACATTTAAGTATACCGATCGTCATATCTCGATTAGCTGAGTCGATCTAGACATGTGTGTCCGTCCGTCCGTCTGTCCATTATATTTTGTAAACACGATACAGGCCACAGCTATGGACCAATCTTCACGAAATTTTGCATGTAGGATGGGTTCTGCCCAATGAAGACCCCTATTGTTTTTGGTAAAGATCGGTTAATATCGGGCCAAAGAATAAGCGTGCTTGTTTTGATAAAGATCGGTCAATATTTAGCGGGTCAAATGGACCCTGACTTTTGTGTGAAAAATTACAAAATTTGCATTCGATGGCGTATATATTTACTCCTGAAAGACATAGACCCGAGAAGTTGATAGTATATACAAGAGGAGTGGTTGACCTTTAAATTGATACCAATTATATAAATATTTACAGGTACTTAGGTATTCAGATATTATTCAATAAACCATTACCACACTGGAGGGCGGAAATATAGCGCTGATCGCATTGAAATGTTCCATGAGATTCCAGTTATGGTCAAGGACAACGCCTGTAATGTTCGGTGATGATCATATAACAATTTTGGGATGAAGTGGTCCGAAAACTTTTTTTCGATTCGATATATATATGCTACAATTATAAGACAAACATAAAAAACCCACGGTGAAGGGAGTATGGACAAGTAATTTGAAGGGCTATACTGAATATTGGTAATATTCGGAAAATATGTCAGTGTAAGGAAGAGGTGCTGTTGACCATTAATCGGGCAAGAGAGTGCACGAAATATTGCCCAGGACCGGAATAAAAACCCGCAGAAAGATAGAGTACTGTGGTAGTTGTGTAGGGTATCGTATGGTCGGCCCCGTCCGACTATACTGCTCCGCTCACTGGTTTAAAACTATTTTTAGGGCTCTATATAAGGCGTGAATTTAAAAAAATATATTGTTAAGGTTATAGATAAGAACAAAATTTAAAAAAGGCGTAGATTTTTTATTTTTAAAAAAATATTTTTCATATTCCTATCAAGGCATAGATTTTTTAAGAAATTTTTTAAAAATATTTTTAGGGCTCTATATAAGGCGTGTATATATATATATATATATATTTTAAGGTTATAGATACGACAATACCAAAATTTAAAAAAGGCGTAGATTTTTTATTTAAAAAATATTTTTCATATTCCTATCAAGGCATAGATTTTTTAAGGAATTTTTTAAAAAACAATTTAGGGCTCTATATAAGGCGTGGATTTAAAAAAAATATATTGTTAAGGTTATAGATAAGAACAAAATTTAAAAAAGGCGTAGATTTTTTATTTTTAAAAAAATATTTTTCATATTCCTATCAAGGCATAGATTTTTTAAGAAATTTTTTAAAAATATTTTTAGGGCTCTATATAAGGCGTGTATATATATATATATATATATATATATATTTTAAGGTTATAGATACGACAATACCAAAATTTAAAAAAGGCGTAGATTTTTTATTTAAAAAATATTTTTCATATTCCTATCAAGGCATAGATTTTTTAAGGAATTTTTTAAAAAACAATTTAGGGCTCTATATAAGGCGTGGATTTAAAAAAAATATATTGTTAAGGTTATAGTAAGACCAAAATTTAAAAAAGGCGTAGATTTTTTATTTTAAAAAAAAATATTTTTCATATTCCTATCAAGGCATAGATTTTTTAAGAAATTTTTTAAAAATATTTTTAGGGCTCTATATAAGGCGTGGATGAAATATATATATATATATATATTTTAAGGTCATAGATAAGATTAAAATTTAAAAAAAATGCGTAGATTTTTTATTTAAAAAATATTTTTCATATTCCTATCAAGGCATAGATTTGTTAAGAAATTTTTTAAAAATATTTTTAGGGCCCTATATAAGGCGTGGACTTAAAAAAAAATATTTTTAGGGTGGATTTAAAAAAATATATATATTTTAAGGTTATAGATAATATAAGACCAATATTTAAAAAAAGGCGTAGATTTTTTAATTAAAAAAATATTTTTCATGTTCATATCAAGGCATAGATTTTTTAAGAAATTTCTTAAAAATATTTTTAGGGCTCTATATAAGGTGTGGACTTAAAAAAAATATTTTTAGGGTTATAGGTAAGACCACTATTAAAAAAAGGCGTAGATTTTTTTAAAAAATATTTTTCATATTCCTATCAAGGCATAGATTTTTTAAGAACTATTTTTCAAGGCCCTATCAAGACATAGATTTAAAAAAAATATATTTTTTTTTTTAAATTTAAATCCCTTAATTTCAACCATTCTCGTTTCCCCTCCTTCTCACTTTTTCTCCTTTTAACTTCGAAATAAATAATCCAGCAAATCAATGCCCCACCAAAAAAAAAAAAAACGAAAATCAAAAAAAATAAAATAAAATATCCAGACATTCAGACTAATTTAACAGTTTGCAGACAAACAAGGATACAATTTATCCTTTCAATTCGTTGTTGTTGTTGCAAATAAATAGCAAAAATAAAAAAATCCTGAAGTAAAAACCTAACTATCCAACTTTGATTCTTCTCATGTACTCATGAAATATTCAATGGAAACGAGCGAATGAATGAATGAAGTAAGTAGCAGCTATTCGAGGATAGCAACAACAACATTGAAATTTTGTTGTTGTTGCTGGAAACAGGAAGCAACAACAAGAACGAAACTGGAAAAACTTTTCTACTTAAAATGTAAAGTTTACAATAATTTTTGATTATTGGCACAATGCCAAATGAAATCGATGAAGTTTTGCTCCCCGGATCACCCTCTCTTTCATTTCTACTCTCTCCCTTCTCCCTCTCTCTCCTCTCTTGTGAGCCCCCTCAGTATTGGTGTTTGCTTGCAAATAAACATTTATTTCAGTTTTCTTCCTGTTTGAAATGTTTGAGGTTGGGGGGGGGCGCCTGACCTCATCTTCCTGGCGTATTGGAGGGGAGAGAAATAAACTCTCCAGAGTAACAGAATACGCCACAAAACTACAAAACGAAATGGAAATGAAAATCATATAACCAAAATAACTTACACACGCATACATTTATTTTACTTTCTCCCCCGCCCACCTTAGTTACCCAAGGGGTTCCCTTTCTTCGTCCCTTGCCCCCATATTTCGTCTCTATAGGGAAATTTATTTTTGCTGGGCGGAAGTTAGTCAATGTGTATGGGTAATTCTAGACTGGGCAGCAACTTGTAAGCGACCTTCTGTTTTGTAGATGGCTGGCTTGCTTGGTGAATTGAATGCCAGTGTTGCCATAAATTATTACTTCTTTTTTTTGCAACCAAAATGGGGAAGGGGGAAAAACTATGCATACTATTTATGGTTATGGACTATGCAGTCAGTTAGACAAAGAAACAGATATGTATACATGGCCATTAATACTAAATATTTTGCAGTATGTCTGTCTGTCTCCCGGTCCGTCTGTCTGCCAGCCTGGCCATTTAGCATTTACTTTATGGATTGTCTGCTTAAATTTTGTGGCTATACAATTCCACCAAAACACAGAAGTTCCCCCCAAAATGGTAGGAGAATATTGAAGACCTAAACACAAAAAACCAACTTCATTTTTGGTTATTGTTCATATTTTTGGAGTTCGCCAACAAAAATTTTATGAGAGGGAACCCCACCGTCTCCTCGAAAAAAATATTTATAAAATGTGTCTGTGCCGCCCGTGTTTATTGATGAGGAAATTATTTATTTTCTTTTTGCCTCGTTCATTCAGCGTGTTTTCCTCATCCTTTTCTTTCCTTATCGATGAAACTTTTTTAATTTCCCCCCCGAAAAGAAGAACGAAAATCGCCCGGGTAAATGTTTTCTGTCTTGTGATTGTGAATTTTTGCCAAATAAACAACTGAAATATTATTCGAAATGTAGACAGATGACAGGGCGTAAGCAACCAAAAAAAAAAAAAAAAAAAGAACAAGGATTCCAAGGACAAAAAAGTATTGACTGTATAGTCTGAGAGTAGAGAGTGGGGTTCTGACGGGTGGTTGGCTGGTTGTCAAATAAAATCGTTGTTAATATGGAAATGAAGAAGGTCTAATGGCAAATTTTTCGGGGATAAATATGAGGGCAAGGGGGAGTAATGGCAACTCCTTAAGTGTTTGAAATGATGGACGAAGGGAACAAATTAAAGGATTTATTTTTTTTAAAAAACTAGAAGTTCAAAAACAAGGAAGAAATATTAAAATCGAAAAATCTAAATGAAAACCCGTAAGGAAAGTAGTAAAGTCGGACGGAGCCGACTATATGATACCCTTCACCACTTTGGGTATATTCAACAGATGAATCGTAACAGACATCGCATTATTTCAAGCACCAGTCAATTTCATGCAAATCGAATGATATATAGAGACTCATGTCCACCATTTACCTTAAATCGGACGAAAATACATATATGGGAGCTATATCTAAATCTGAACCGATTTTCACGAAACTTGGCACACATCACTCAAGACTGAATTCAGTGCGCTTTGCAAAATTTCGTGAAAATCGAAGGATATATAGAGACTTTTGTGCACCATTTACCTAAAATCGGACGAAAATATATATGGGAGATATATCTAAATCTGAAACGATTTTCAGGAAATTCAACACACATCATTCTATACCTAATTCATTACGCTGTGCCAAATTTCGTGCTAATCGCAAGATATATAGGGACTTTGGTGCACCATTTGCATTAAATCGTACCCCTTGCTAAGAAAGAAATCTACAAAATGTATCACCTAATTCCGATCCTTATATAAACCTCCTATAATTATTATATAACATATGCCGTAATTTATATATTTAAGTTGTTGTTTTTTATTATAAAGGCAACCCGAAAATTTTGTTAATTTTGTTGTTGTTGTTGCTATTAAAGAAAAAAACTTTTTCTATTTATTTGTTTTATTTCGTTTGGTATGACAATCATATGCCATTAATCATATCAATTAGGCAGGGAGTTCGGGTAAAGTTTGCCATTTTCATTTTTCTGTTACAAGGACAAAATGTTTTATACATGCAAAATCATGATTTGTACCGAAATTGAAGCAAACAAATTTAGATATTATCTAGTAGCTTAAGGGCAGAGAAAACAGAAATTGTCACAAATTTAATGGAAAATGGAGGGAAAAAACTTGAAGAAATTTTTTGACATGAGGTAAAAAATTAAAAAAAAAATATAGGAAAAAAACATATTTTTTCCGAACCCAAAGAAGGCATGGATTTATTAATTTTTTTTTCATAGTCCTACACAAGGCGTGGATTTTTTTACATAAGTTTTTCCAACACCTGCACAAGGCCTATATAAGGCGTAGATTTTTTAAATAATTTTTTCCAAGGTCTATATAAGGCGTAGATTTTTTTAAATAACTTTTCCAAGGCCTATATAAGGCGTAGATTTTTTAAATATTTTTTTCCAAGGCCTATATAAGGTCTAGATTTTTTAAATAATTTTTTCCAAGGCCTATATAAGGCGTAGATTTTTTAAATAATTTTTTCCAAGGCCTATATAAGCCGTAGATTTTTTAAAGAACTATTTTTTCCAAGGCCTATATAAGGCGTAGATTTTTTAAATAATTTTTTTCAGCGGCCATACACAGGGCGTAAATTTTTTAAATAATTTTTTCAAGGGAGTAGATTTTTTAAATAATTTTTTCCAAGTCAACCAAGAGGCGTGGATTTTTTAAATAATTTTTTCCAAGGCCTATATAAGGCATAGATTTTTTAAATAATTTTTTCCAACACCTACACAGGGCGTATATTTTTTAAATAATTTTTTCCAAGGCCTATATAAGGCATAGATTTTTTAAATAATTTTTTTGGGAAGCCTATATAAGGTGTAGATTTTTTAAATAATTTTTTTGGGAAGCCTATATAAGGCGTAGATTTTTTAAATAATTTTTTTGGGAAGCCTATATAAGGCGTAGATTTTTTAAATAATTTTTTCTCAAGCCTATATAAGGCGTAGATTTTTTAAATATTTTTTTCAAAGGCCTATATAAGGCGTAGATTTTTTAAATATTTTTTTCAAAGGCCTATATAAGGCGTAGATTTTTTAAATAATTTTTTCCAAGGCCTATATAAGGCGTAGATTTTTTAAATAATTTTTTCCAAGGCCTATATAAGGCGTAGATTTTTTAAATAATTTTTTCCAAGGCCTATATAAGGCGTAGATTTTTTAAATAATTTTTTCCAAGGCCTATATAAGGCGTAGATTTTTTAAATAATTTTTTCCAAGGCCTATATAAGGCGTAGATTTTTTAAATAATTTTTTCCAAGGCCTATATAAGGCGTAGATTTTTTAAATAATTTTTTCCAAGGCCTATATAAGGCGTAGATTTTTTAAATAATTTTTTCCAAGGCCTATATAAGGCGTAGATTTTTTAAATAATTTTTTCCAAGGCCTATATAAGGCGTGGATTTTTTAAATAATTTTTTCCAAGGCTATATAAGGCGTAGATTTTTTAAATAATTTTTTCCAAGGCCTATATGAGGCGTGGATTTTTTAAATAATTTTTTCCAAGGCCTATATAAGGCGTGGATTTTTTAAATAATTTTTTCCAAGGCCTATATAAGGCGTGGATTTTTTAAATAATTTTTTCCAAGGTTATATAAGGCGTGGATTTTTTAAATAATTTTTTCCAAGGCCTATATAAGGCGTGGATTTTTTAAATAATTTTTTCCAAGGCCTATATAAGGCGTGGATTTTTTAAATAATTTTTTCCAAGGCCTATATAAGGCGTAGATTTTTTAAATAATTTTTTCCAAGGCCTATATAAGGCGTAGATTTTTTAAATAATTTTTTCCAAGGCCTATATAAGGCTTAGATTTTTTAAATATTATTTTTTCAAGGCCTATATAAGGCGTAGATTTTTTAAATATTTTTTTTGCAAGTCCTATATAAGGCGTAGATTTTTTAAAAAAATTTTTCCAAGGCCTATATAAGGCGTAGATTTTTTAAATAATTTTTTCCAAGGCCTATATAAGGCGTAGATTTTTTAAATAATTTTTTTATTTTATTTATTTATTTTTTTTGTATATATATATATATATATATATTTTATTTTTTGACTTGTACTCACCTTTACCGAAACCATGAATATCGGTGCGGAAATTATCCTTGCCCTTTTGGCCATCGACCAATTGACCCAGCCCATCAACATAACGATCACCCTGTTCAGTGCCATCGTAGGTTTTATCCGATAAATCGACTTCCATGCCACGTTGTACGCCCTTGGGTATGCTATAGGAAACAATGCCCTCTGAAAAATACAAAAAACAACAAAAACATTAATACAAATTAATTACAATGGAAATTACGTACTTCGAGATATATATAAATATTCATTTCAGAACAAATTTAAAATAATTTAATACAGGAAATCTATTAAATAAATACAACGCCATACAACTCCTTCACAATCCAATTCCCACGGGGTATTTGAAAAGGAAGGAAGTTTTTTTCTCTCTCTTTTTGGTTTGAATATTTTTTTATTCTTTTCTGATGTTTTTTTTTTTTTGTATTCAGTGTTCGGTAATTTGAGTCGTGTCGTTTCTAATTTGAACAAATTTTCTATGACATTCAAATTTTAGTCCATTACGTAGACAAAGACAAATGACAAATAGCCGGAGGAGGATGAGTTTTGAGTATTTCGTATTCAAAGTTTTAGAAGTTTTGTATAATTTTTTTTTTTATTTCTTTTTTTGTGGGATTCTATACTCCCATCCCCCCCTTTTTTTTTTGAATATTTTACTTCAATTTAGTTAAACATTTGTTGTTTAGTTGTTGTGGTCTCATATTACCAAAAAAATGCCACTACTACTGCTGTTGGTTCTGCTGCTGCTACTCCTCTTAGTCATTTCCCCCCGTTTGAAGCCTCCAGGGAGTTTTTTTGTTTAAAGTGGGGTTTTTTTTTGTTTCCCTCTGTTAAACGAAATATGAGCTGCTGCCGAACCTTTTGAAAAAAATATATTTCAATGTCATTTGAAATTTAATTTCAATTAAATTTTTTATTTGAAATAAAATATCCCGACATAGAAAAGAGGATAATATCAACGAATGATTCACGAGTTGTTTTGTGGAGAGAGGCATTTTTTTGAAATAGGGAGCCTTTACAAAAATCTCTATATAAGAACCTTGAAAAAATATTTTTTAAGGCTCTATGTAAGGCGTGGTTTTTTGTTAAAAACTTTTTTTTCCAGGATCTACACAAGGCATAGATTTTGTAAAAAAAAAAATATAAAAGGCGTGGCATTTTTTTTTTTTTTTTTTGAAATAGGGAGCCTTTATTAAAAGCTCTATATAAGAACCTTGAAAAAAATATTTTTAAGGCTCTATATAAGGCGTGGATTTTTTAAAAACTTTTTTTCCGGGATCTACACAAGGCATAGATTTTGTAAAAAAAATATAAAAGGCGTGGCATTTTTTTTTAAATAGGGAGCCATTATTAAAGGCTCTATATAAGAACCTTGAAAAAAATATTTTTAAGGCTCTATATAAGGCGTGGATTTTTTAAAAACTTTTTTCCGGGATCTACATAAGGCATGGATTTTTTAAAAACCTTTTTCCGGGATCTACACAAGGCATGGATTTTTAAAAAATATTTTTTTTTCAGGAACCTACATATTTTTTTCTCCTAAATCAACCATAATTTGTCAGCTATTTAGGCTTCACATGTATGGATGTGTGAGTGTGCTGTGTGTTTGTGTGTGTGTCTGTTTATCCCATGTAGAAACCAATGAATTTTCAAAATTTTATTCCACCACAACAACAACACATATATCCTTTTAAATGGGGTTTTATTATTCAGTGTGTCACCAGAATATATATCCTGATATGAAAAATGTGATCGTATGTGTGTGTGTGTGTTAGCGGTACCACCTACATTTGTGTGTATGTGTGTGTGCGTGTATTACGCTTGTTATTGTGGGCGTATAATGTAATTGTGTCGTTGTTGTTGCTGTGTGGTGGCATTTTTAAAGGATTTATTATTAGTTTTTCATTTACATGTAAATGGAAGAGGCAAGGCACACCAACACACAACATAAACACACACACGCACACACACACACAAAGAAATAATTGTCTTTACACATACTAATACAATGTTTAATGAGTAAATGTATACCGTGGTTATGTTTAGCAAGGCCTGTGTGTAACATAATTATCGTAATTACATGCGTGTTTTCGTGTTGTTGTTGCTTTTGTTGCTATTATTTTCAAAAATTATCCTTGTTGTATTGTTTTGAAAACAATACCCAATTGTTTTTCTGTATATATATATATATATATATATATGTATTTATATATAAGAGACTAGATAAAAACCCATCAATATATAGACATATGAATTTAATTGCATTGGTAATGGTTTTCTAAATGATAATTCATGTGGGTATATATATATATATATATGTATATATATATATACTTGTGGGTGTATGTGTAAACACCACGTGTGCGTATAATTAAATTGAAATGTGAATCATTGTTAAATGTTTATCGAATTACAATAATATTTACTACCATCGTTTTGTAATATTTATTATTCGAATATAATGGAATCCTGGCACACACACACACAAACATATTTAGGTTTGTGTATATATGTGAGTGTGTACACATACATATAACAATAGTAATAATAATAATTGCATATGTTTGTAATATTCTCTCGATGCAGGAAATAATTTATGAGGAAAAACAATGTTTAATGTAATTAAGGGATATTAACTAATTATAGGTTGGACAGGACAGAACTTAACAAAACATAATTACTTCTGGAGAAAATATTGTATTACTTGGCCTTAAAAAATATATTTAAAAAGTTCACGTCTTGTATAAAGCTTTGAATAAATGTTTATGTAGATCAAAAAAAAAAAAAAAAAAATAATAAAAAAATTAAAAAAAAAAAATTAAAAAATAAAAAAATTAAAAAAAAATTTAAAAAATAAAAAAATTAAAAAAAACCTTCGCCTGCATCTTGAATATTTCATTCCTAGGAAAACCTTCCATACTGGCATTTTCCATTATCCTTTTGTTCAACACCTGACAATTACTAGCAATTAAATAATTTCCAAACCAGTAAGGAAAATAGTAAAGTCAGACTGGGCCGACTATATGATACCCTTCACCACTTTGGATATATTCTACATATGTATCCTAACAGACGTAGCGTGTTTGTTATATATATATATATATATATATATAGCCGAACCGATTTCAGGGAAACTTGCCAGAGACAAATTTACATTACTTCAGTACGTTGTGTCAATCGGCCTAGCAACATCATTCTAGACTTAATTCAGTACCATATACCTAAATTCGTGCAAATCGAAAGATATATAGGGACTTTGGTGCCCCTAATTACATAAAATTGGACGAAAATATATATGGGAGGTACATCTAAATCTAAACCGATTTTCACGAAACTTGGCAGACATCATTCTAGACTTAATTCAATATGCTATGCCAAAATTTGAACAAATCAAAACATTTCCTGCGACATTAGTGGACTTTTTACCTAAAATCGGGCGAAGCTATATATGGGAGCTATATCTAAATCTGAACCGATTTTCACGAAACTTAACTCACATCATTCTACACCTAATTCATTACGCTGTGCCAAATTTCCTGCAAATCGAAGTATATATAGAGATTTTGGTACACCACTTACCTTAAATCGGACGAAACTATATATGGGAGCTATATCTAAATCTGAACCGATTTTCACGAAACTTTACATACATCATTCTAGACCTTATTCATTACGCTGTGCCAAATTTCGTGCAAATCGAAAGATATATAGGTACTTTGGTGCCTATATCGGGCAAAATATATATGGGAGCTATATCTAAATCTGAACCGATTTTTCCCAATTTCAAGAGGTTTCGTCCTTGGGCCAAATAAGTGAGCTGTGCCAAATTTCATACAACTCGGGTCATAACTAACTGAACTTTGTTTACAATTTAACATGGACAGACGTACGGACATGCATAAATATACTCAGTAAGTGATTCTATGCATATTCTCATAAGGAACCATGGGTCTATCACGATTATTTTTGCCTATTACAAACATATGCACAAATACATAATACCCTGCTGTACCACAGGGTGGGGATGGGTATAAAAAATGTTTTAAAACATTTTCATTCTCTCTCTCTGTGCACTGCTATTTTAAACTTATATTCAATAATAATTCTTGCACAATTTTAAAAATATTTGTTGTAATAAAAATTTGTTCCTCACCACATAATTTTCCTAATTGCTGTTATTTGTATTTTTTTTTTGAGGTTTTTCCAATATCCGTTTTTTCCGCCCCCTTTACCACTCTTCTATCACTAATTATTCTGTAATTTACTAATGTCGAACTACCAACTGTCACTAACACACACATGCACTCACATAGCCATGCATTATTAATGTTGGATGTCCTTTTCGTTGGACACTCTACCTACTAAAGACCATGCCTCATTCTGTCACTTCTTCTCTCTCTCTCTCTCTCTCTCTCTCTCTCACCCTGTGATAGAAGTTTTGATAGTAGCAATTATTTGTTTGTAATTATTTTGACATCATTAACCAAATCATATGACATTTCCATATGACTGGTGTGTTTGTATGACTATCTGTCAGTTGTGGGTCCCCAATCATCATCATCATCATACAAAATGACAACCAAGCTCTCATGTGGTTTTATCATCAGGATAACTATTACTACAACACCAACAACAACAACACACACTACTGCTACTATCATTATTGTTATTATCATTAATTTGATATCTCTCCTGTCTGTCTGTCTCTTCGATGTAATTGTAGTAGATAATTTTATACAAAAGTTTGTTAGTCCCTTTGTGAGTGTATATGTATCGGTGTGTGTGTGTGTTTGTATATGTGGTAAACAATTATGGTTTATAATTTAATGAATAATTAAAATGGATAGAAAATTGAAAATCAATGGAAACTATTCTACGAAAGTTTCATTTTTTCAAAGTGACATTAGATGACTGGCAAGGAAGGGGGGGGGGGTGGGGGGTGCATGTTGAGGAGAGGCTTTTGAATTTATTTCATTGCTAGTAATTGTCAGGTGTTGGATAAATGGATACCAGGAAGTAACAAGGATCTAATGGATTTAAGAAAAAAAAACTTTAGGCTCTTTATAAGGGACCATAACAAAGATCTACAGGAGGCGTGGATTTTATAAAAAATATTTTTTAAAAACCACAACAAGTCGTGGATTTTTTTAAAAAAATATTTTTTT